CCCCCCCAGGAGACTCAGAGGCACAGACAGCCGCTCACCTGCCGACTCGTCATCAGGCGACATGTAGCCACAAGTATCCGCTCAATGAAGTCACACAAGTAGCCTAATACTCTTCTTCTTCTTTTGTTACACTATAACTTGCACATTTGTTGTATTATTTTCAATATTGGCAGGACTAGAAACAGCAGCTTTGTTTCCAGGTACTATGAATGAACAAGATACACCAATGCAAGGAGCTTTTAGGTACATGAACCTCTGCCATCATGAAGAAGAATGTCAGCCCTTGCTGTAATGCTGTCTGTTGACTGGAAGCCATCTTTCTCTCTGGCTCTCCTCTAGTTCTTTTGTTTTTGTTCCTAGTTGCCTTGAGAAACTTCTTGAATGATGGGTAATGGACGGGGAGGTCCCCAAACCTCGAGACTGTACCAATGTTTTGTAGATGCTTTGAAGAGGTCATTGTTGTTTTGTATTATTTACCTTTTTTTTTATTTTGCACATTATACCAATTTGTGCTTTTGATACTGTCACTCTAAAGAAAAAGCTTATTGTATAAAGTTAGTGATATGAAAAGAAAGAAATTGCTGTTTTTATTTCATTTTGCATTCCTGTAAATGTATTTTGTTCCAAAGGTTTTGTTTACTTCTGTGAATAATTCTGTGAGCAGTGCCATATGTTCAGAGATCCTCATCATGGTGAGAGTCCGTTTTTGAAGAGACTGTGTTGGTATTGATCTGTACCGGTTGATCTCAGAAGGTTGTGCAGTATTGCTTGTATTATGTCTTCTTTGCCTTGTCAGCCGCATCAGGCCTCATCTATGAGCACACGTATGAGCATCTGAGAAAAGTCTCGTTTGTTTGTCTTTCCAACCTGAAAGATAAAGCAGGTCCAGGATCAGTGCTCAGCCTCCGATGCGCGATGCGTTCCAGCCCCTGACCCTCAGCCTGTGTTGGGGTACTTCATCTCTCTGCCATCAGAGGGAGCCGTTGTTCCATGTAGCCTGTCGCTTCTCATCAGTAAAAGGCATTCATTAACTTGTTGATGGTTTTTAAAGCTCATATCATTTTGGAAGTATGCACAGTGCTGTTAATAAAATTATAAGCGAAAGCTATCACGTGTCTCTCTTCTGTACAGCAGAGTAAAGGGGTTTAGCTTGTAGCTGCCAGAACTACAAAGTCATTCTTTGCCTGCATTTTATATTTCGCAAAGTGTCTTTGTACATGTAACTATTTTCCTTTGAAATAGTTAAGATTTTTTTAAACATTTATATTGGATATTTTTTGGAGCATTTTTATGAATTTCATTTAATTGTTGCGAAATACTAGGGTATGATTAGTTTTATTTGATTATTACTACACTACAAGTTTTAATGACCTTCAAAAAACTTTGTTTATGAAAAGCTATACTAAGAATATTTGAAATATATCATGACATTGTAATGGCTTATTACAACAGGGTTTCTAATACATCTTGAATGACAGTTCTAATGAAGTGAGCCAGCATAACAAAATACGCTATCAGTTCTGGATTCAATTCCAGAACTGATGCAGTTTACTTCAGCGTTACTGGTATTGACCACAAAGTCCAAACAAGACTCACAATTAACGACAAGTTGCCATTCAACTTGGACACATTTAAAAACAAGCACATTATCTCATTACTCAGATTAGAAAGTGTATTAATGTGTATCTTTGCATTGACTAAAAGTACCTACAGGATGTGCTGACAACATTTTCCTTTTGCATTGCTTTACTCTAAGTGTACTGACATTAGTTCTTCATTACAAAGAGATGCGTTGAAACTGCCTATGAAGTTAATTAAGTATTGAATAAATAACTAATGTTCACGTCTTAGTCTTGCTAATCATTAACAACCAAGACTTTTTACATGCAATTGATTAATATATCACATTCAAACTTAGAAACATTGTACGCTCTTCTTCTCGTTTAACAGTCAATCTTTATTTGGTATAATTTTCAAAAACTACAAACAATGAATTTGTTGAATTGAATGTCATTCATTTTACATTTCAGAACTCAAAGGCATTAAAGGGCATTTAACAGAATTCTAACACCCAAAACAATGTAACAGTGGTACTTCTTAAAAAAACAGCAGAACAAAACAGACCAACAGGTGGTAGGGAGGGTATGGACGATACCTGCACATTACCAAACAGTGCGTTTGATTGTCTGCAAACTCAGTTTGTATATGTGGAGTCACAGTCATTATCCCCTCCTCTGAAAGTCATATACTGTGCTATAGTCGTCATATCTGAGGGGGGTCTGTGTCTCTTAGGAAACCAACTAATTATTTGAAGTTTCAGTCAATAAATGAATTAATTACTTCATTAAACAGAAACGTGTATTTTCTTAATGAGGGCAACTTCATGCTGTGAACCATATATATGGACCAAAAATCTGTTCGACCCTCATCCTTACGGGAAAAAATAACTAGCGACAGAAATACTTTTCATTCACCTATAGTCACACTAAACAAAACCACTGTTTTACATTCGGGAAACATGACTGTATGAAGAATAAAAACAAAGAAATCAGTGCACTGAACATTGAATAAAACTAACAATACTAATTATATTCCTACAAGGCTTTTGGTTGAATTTCTAAGGCATCTGTAACTTTCAACTTGGCTGTTGGTAATGATTCAACACAGAAAATAACAAAACTAAACTGAAGGAAAGAAAACATAAAACTACAAATAATGTTAACCCTTCTAAGTCTAGAAACAGACTAAATGAAGCACCCGTCTCACAAAAATATCTTCTTTTTAAAAATACTAAAACTGGGGTGTGTTAGCTAACAACAAATGCGAATGATGTGTGATAAAATGAAATGACCTAAAAAGTTTTTTTCAGAGATAAAAGGAAAAACGTTGTGAGGCTGTAACTGGCTGCAGGCGGACGCATCGCCATAAAATTCAGTGTACAGACTTAAGCGACAGGAAACAGACAACAAAAGAAATAGTCAAAAATAAAAACAAAACATCTAACCTAAGCTTTCTTTCTCTCCATAAACAGCACCCAAACAAAATAAAACACTATCTGGTAATTTATTTTTGGTTATTTTTCTCTATATTGTCATTTTAAATAAAGAAATATATACATAGATTATAATATGTACACTTGTCAAAGACCTGTTTCACGCTGCTCTTCAATGATTACTTTGCCTGAGGTGATGCCTAGTATGATATATAAAAACAGTCCCTGGTCTATGTTGTGCTCCAAATCTTGTTCTGCGGACAATCAGCAATATACAACGCTTGTGGTAATACGAACTCTAGGCTAAGGATAGTTCTTGGTGTCATTTTAGAAATTGTGTTTTGTCATGGTGGGATCAAATCACTTCTTCTCATTAAAGCTTATTCTAGAGGAAATGTGCTGGATAAAAAGGACAGTCAAGCTAAAGTTGCAGTTCGGAGAAAATTTGAGTCTCAATCGTGCATCGTGATCATTTATACTAGCAGGCGACTGAGCTTTACCATGACGACTAATAAGGGGCTGTGGGGGACCGTTCTGAGCCTGAGAGGAAGGAACTGGAGCTGCTGTGTGTGTCCGCACTTTCCTCCTCACTTCTGTTCATCCAGGTACGCTCCTCACTGCAGGGGGGAGACACACAAAAAGGGCAGAGGGAGAGAGGATATGTTAATGGTTCTATCACATTAAAAACAAAAAGAGTACTTTAATATCTACCTAGTTGTTTTAAGGCTGCTTTTCTCCGTTGACCCCGAGGAGCACAGCTTCCTCCGTGTTCTCGCTCTTCATCTCCACCACGATGTTATCTTTGCTGGACACCTCTTTGGTGCTGCAGGAACAAAAAAGAGTGAGTTCTTTCTTAACATTAATGTAAAAAAATAATGCTTTACAGCGTAGAAGATCAGTACAAACATTCAATCAAATTTCAAGTAGGTGGTGAACTTGTCAGAGAAACAGTTGCTTATTTAATCACCCAGCAGCAAAGGAACAACATTATCCTTCATTTTGGGTCCAGATTGTGTCCTCCTGAGAAACAGAAGTCTTATGTTCACTTTACTTTTGGCTTTAACCAACTCCTAGGGGGAAATCCTGCTCAGAGCTGCAAAATGCTGCACTAAGTTTCTCAGGTTGTCAGTGTCTGTGTATGGTTTGGTGATCCTTACCAGTGGTTCTTTCATATAACATGTAATCTATTGATTTTGTAAACATTTATATTGCAGCAGCTTCGTGTGTGTGTTAACTATACAGCAAGAATAATCACATGCTTCTTGTAATCATGTTAAATTGTGTAACTTTGAAATGATATTACGATCCAAGTCTTTTTATCAGTATATTCCTGTATTTGCTATTTATTTTATATCTGATTTAATGCCAAGTAGGGTTCAGACTTTCTTGAAACCAGCAGAACTTAAACTTCGGCCTTGTCTGTCCTCTGGCCAAACATCTTTAGTTGGCACCTTAAATAACATGCATATGAGTTCAGAGATTGATCTAGATACTTTAAAAATGTATAATGCTTGATACTAAAATGTGTGACGGCGTATCGTGTTTTACTCACAGGTCTTGCTTGCCAGACCGGCCGCAGAGCTTGCCCTTTTTGTAGAGGAAGTAGAGCACACTACCCAAGATGGCCAGCAGCAGGATGCAGATTATGATGACTGCAATGATAACACCACTGCCCTCTGGTGGAGAAGAAGCACAGCAACAAACACAGGGTTACTCACTGCCACTGGATTATGAATAAAATGATGGTATGACGCAGAAAGGTTGGATTGCATCAGGCTGTGCAGGAACACTAGATAGCAGTACAGTGTGTCGAAAAGAGAGTGCAGCACTAGCTTCATTCAGGAGACCTCAACCTGGGAACCCAAAGAAAGGAAATCATTCAGGAGTGTTGGAGGAGAGGTGCGCTTATAAATGATAACATGCACAGCTAGAGGTGAAGATAAACAA